CCTCCCGCAGGAAGCAGGACCGAGTGGGTGTTCTGCCCAGCCCAGATGGCAAAGTAGACAAGTCACCACTGGCTCGAGGACCCACTAAGTAAGGTGCTCTTGGTGCTGTGTTTGGGTGGGTCGGGGGCACCTGGGGGATAAGGGGAGCCAGGGTGAGGACCCTCTAGTGAGCCAATCAGCGCCACGCCCCTGATACGGCGACACTGGAATCCTTCCATGCATGGAAGGCGGCCGGACGCAGCCAGCGACGAAGCAGTTCCCATTGTTGCACTGTACCTTCCCGGCGTGTTCTTGCCTTCGGCTGCCCCCCCCCGGTCTTCGACCCAGTCCCAAGACCCAAGACCAGGAGCGGGAGCAGCACCAGCAGTACCAGGAGTCGCGGCAGCAGCAAGAGCGGACGGATGTTCGCACCTGCACTTTCATAAAAGACTGCCCTTCCGCCTCTCTCGTCACCTCTGTTCTTTTTCCCTTCAGCCCAGCTCTGTCCTCCCTTCTTCGGCCCTGAGGTACATTCCTTCTTTCAACCCTCACCAACTGACCAACCCCAAGCTCTACACCGACTGAGCGCAACAATGTCGATGAAGGAGACCGCCCTCGGCGTGGCCACGGCCGCGCCCCCCACCGTCGATGACCCCATGGGTCTCGATGCCGACAAGCTCGAGAGCAACCGCCCTTACGCCGGCGACGGCAACGTCCCCAAGGATTTCCGTGAGCAGGACTTCATGACCCGTAACGGTCTCAACCTCCGCTCCTTCACTCGCCGTATGTACCGACCTGTCCGCCGGCCTCGGGCCGCTTTTCTCACACCGCCTACGCTCCCGCCGTCCGCTTTCTGAGATTTCGGACCCCGACTGACACAATGTTTAGGTGACTTCGGTACCGGCGACGTCGAGCTCGATCGCTCCATGAAGACCCGCCACTTGCACATGATTGCCATCGGTGGTTCCATCGGTGCTGGTTTCTTCGTCGGCTCCGGTAGCGCCTTTGTCAAGGGCGGTCCCGGTTCTGTCCTCATCTGCTTCTCCATCGCTGGTGTCATGATCTTCAACGTCATCCACGCCCTTGGCGAGCTCGCTGTTATGTACCCTGTCTCTGGTGGTTTCTACACTCTGTCTACCCGCTTCATCGACCCTTCTTGGGGTTTCGCCATGGGCTGGAACTACGTAAGTTCTTTGTGCTTCAACCGTCTGATGATACCTCTTGACTAACGTACTACGCCAGGTCTTCCAATGGTTGATCGTCCTGCCCCTCGAACTCACTGTCTGCTCTTTCACCGTTAAGTACTGGAACAAGGAGGTTAGCGACGCTGTCTGGATTACTCTTTTCTGGGTTGTCATCATCATCGTCAACATCTTTGGCACTCTGGGTTACGCCGAGGAGGAGTTTTGGAGCTCTTGCTTCAAGCTCGCCGCCATTATCATCTTCATGATCGTCGCTATCGTTCTCATCTGCGGTGGTGGCCCTAAGGGCTACAAGTTTGACGAGTACCACGGCGACATCTACTGGCGCGACCCTGGTGCGTTCCAGAACGGCTTCAAGGGCTTCTGCTCCGTTTTCGTCACTGCCGCCTTCTCCTACGCTGGCTCCGAGCTTGTCGGTCTCGCCGCCGCCGAGTCGGAGAACCCTGCCCGAGCTCTTCCTGGTGCCGTCAAGCAGGTCTTCTGGCGTATTACCCTCTTCTACATCGTCGGTCTCACCCTCGTCGGTCTCCTCGTGTCGTCGCGCGACGAGCGTCTTCTCAATGCCAAGAACCCCTACGCTGAGGGCACTTCTCCCTTCGTCCTAGCCGCAAAGGATGCCGGCCTTAAGGGTTACGACACGTTCATGAACCTTGTTATCTGCATCTCTGTCGTCTCTATTGGTGTTTCTTGCGTCTACGGCGGCTCGCGTACCCTGTCCGCGCTCGCTCACACCGGTTACGCCCCCAAGATCTTCACCTACGTCGACAAGTCTGGCCGTCCCCTCGTGTCCGTCCTCTTCCTCCTCGCCTGGGGCGGCCTCGCCTATATTGTCCTCGGCGCCCACGGCTCCGTTGTCTTTGACTGGCTCCTTGCTCTTTCCGCCCTGGCCGCTCTCTTCACCTGGGGCTCCATCTGCCTGGTACGTTTCGCCTCCCGCCATTCAATTATCTGATCCCGACGCTAACATTGTCCAGTGCCACATCCGCTTCCGCACTGCCTGGAAGAGGCAGGGTCGCTCGCTCGATCAGATCCCCTTCCACGCCGCTGGTGGTGTCTACGGCTCTTACATGGGTCTCACTCTCTGCGCTGTCATCCTCATTGCCCAGATCTTCGTTGCCATTATGCCCTACGGCCAGTCCGGCCCCGGTACTGCGGAGGACTTCTTCATGTCCTGCCTTGCCATTCCCGTCGTCCTCGTCTTCTGGGCCTGTGGTTACTTCTGGAAGCGCACTGGCTGGCTCACCATTGACCAGATCGATCTCGATGCTGGTCTCCGTGAGCACAACTGGGAGGAGATCAACGCCCACCGTGCCCGTGTCGCCGCCATGCCTGCTTGGCGTCGTGCTCTCACTCGCGTCTTCTAAGCGCGTGTTCTTTTCTTTGATACCAAGGGTGTTACGCGGAGGAGGTACATATCTCACTGCGCAGATGTCGGACCAGTTTAATAGGGCTGTCAGCCTCGTGAGCGGCATGCGCGGCTCATCTGGAAAGGCATGCTGCCATTCGTTGCTACAAGATACCATATACATATACATGTTTAGACACTGTCTACACCTGCGTCCTACTGTCATAGTCTGTTACCTGCTTCTACGTGTCTGCTTGTTGCACGATCTCATTCCTTAGTACCCAAGTTGCTGTCTCTG